AAGGGGCACTGATTTAAAATAAAGAGACACACTTTAGTTTAAGATCCATTTCTCACTATTGACTAATAACTACGATGTTTGCCTCAATAAACAACTAATTTGCTGCTTATTAATAGTTAGTAATGTAGTTGTTTAGATATGGAGTGAATTAAGGGATATAAAATATAATCATGCAGAATAAGGCATTAATATTGTCACGGTGCTACTGGAGCGAGGAACGAGGAGACGTGGAGTACATCAACAAGAAGATTTTACTGAAATCAAGGGAACCAGGAAAACACACGTAGCTGATGAAGTAGACATCAACAGACATTCAATACCGGACAGGAGAGGGGCAGAACACAGTTTAAATACACAGGAGCAAATGAAGATAATTAATAACACAGCTGGAACTAATGGAACTAATCAGGGAACATAATGGGAACAGGAAGACCAAATAAGGACATAAACATAACATGGAGCACGTGGGGGGAAGAAAGCACACACAGACACGGAACAGAGTCTGACAAATATGTGCTTTATAAGTACTCATAAACAGTCAATATGCCAGTAATATGCATGCTAATGAACAACTAGTTTATAGTGAGAATTGGTTCCTTAACTAAAGTGTCACCATGCATTTGAACTAATTGCTAATACTTATTTTATTTTAGTGAAAGGCTTTCAAGAAAGACTCATGATCTGCATTTTTTTAATTTTATAATGTTTCCTGAGGTGCATTCATAATGTTATTTGGATTTTTTTTATCAGAACTTTGATAATTTAGAAAATGAAAGGGCATTTTCATGATTTCAGACTTCTGAGGGTCAAGTTGCATAAACACAGCCACTATGTTAAGGCCAGGGTGAAGATTTTCAGAAACTCGGGTTGCAGTGTTATCGTGTAGACAGCGGAACTGCCGTCGGAGCCTGCGCTGTTATCTCCGCCTACTGGAGACTTTTTCAGGCTTCTGATTGGCCAACATGGCTTTACGGTTGAGATTATATCGCCACCTGTTGGTTTGGCATGCTCTTGACAGTGCTTCATAGCATGCGTTTGCATTTTCATGTAGACGGAGATTTTTTTTCAAAACGGAAGGAAAAACTCAGTTTATAAAAATACCTGTGTACGTGTGGACATGGCCTAAGACTGTGCCTTAAGAACTAGTTTGACCAACTAGCAGTTAGCAAAGGGCTAATCAGTCTTACTTTTCAGATTCAAATGAGACCAGTCTACCGTTTTGTAACTGACTTTAAAAGTTATGACCAGTCTTGAAGAAAACAAATGAGATGACAATTATTTTAAAGAACTAGTCTTTTTTTATGCAACCAGCCTGATGCAAACACCCGCTGCTGTGATTGGGTAACAGCTTTGCATATGAAATAAAAATTTAATGTTTTAAACTTCTCAAAATCCTTTAAAGTTTGGTTGTTTTGAGGTTAAAGGACTGTGAATAACAGATATCCAGTGTGAGCATCATCATCAGAGCATGTGTGTGTGTGTGTGTGTGTGAGAGCGCTTATGGTGTTTTATATAATTGCTGCAGCAGACAGACTGGTCTGAATCATCACATGACATCCAGACAAAGAGAGAGAATGTTTGTGAGTTCATAGTAAATCATGGAGGATCTTGAAGTTTTAAGTTGTAAGCAGACACGAGACTCCATGGCCACAAATATGACAAACAAAAACTGAAGACCATTTCAAATCTAGTCACGTGACACGTGATTTTCTTTCCCAAAAGAAATAATTAAAGTATAGTTAAAGAATGCTTATTTATTATAAAATAATTCATTTGAACTGTTTGCCAGTATTACTGTTTTTTGTTGTTGTTTTATATATATATATATATGATGCCGTTGTAACTACAACATAAAACACCTCAAAGTCACACGTTTTACCATGTTTTAGTTCAAAATTACATTGTGTGACAAATGACATGGAAATGCAGTTTGAAACTTTCTTGATATTTCTTTGTTGTTTTATACTTGTAATCAATAATGTCATTGCTTTTTTTTTTGTCTTGCAGGCAGAGGAATCGAGCAGACACCTGTCACGCAGCGATAGCAGATATGGATCATTAAAACGAGGACAAAGACAAGAAAGCCATGTTAGTATAGTGGAGCAGAACATCACTCCCTCATTGTGTTTAAAGCAGTGGTTAGACCAAAAATGAACGTTATCTGAAAATGTGCTCATCCCAGATCAGGATGAGTGTGTGTCTTCATCAGGTTTGGAGAAATGTAGCACTGCATCAGTGTCTCAGCAATGGATGCTCTGCAGTGAATACTGCTTTCTCCAGTGAAATAGTCACATTGTTTTAGGTTATTGTGATGGAATGCTACATTTCTTCAAATCTGTTCCTTTAAGTCTCTCTCACAGAACTGCTTTTGCTGAATAGGGTGCACTAATTAGTTCGAATCAGTTTTGTTAAAAGACCAATCAGAAACATTTTAAACTTTTGTTTGTTATAATGAAAATGTGTCTATTTACTTGTTTTTAGAGTGAAGATGATCTGCTTTCTGAAAACATAGAAACTGTAAGTTTTTGTATACCTTTTCTACCAAATTGTATGTTTACTCTTATGAATTGCATAAGATGCTGTGACGAGCGACGCATGCTAAGCTAGGCTGCAAACGGCAAGTGTCAGTGCTGTAAGAGTCAGAGTGCTCACAGCGAGTTGAGACACTCTGGAGAGTTTGAGGAGCAGGTGTGGAGGCGATGAGGGCTGTGAGACGTGACGACTAAGTGCATCATCAATAGGAGTGTCTTGAGTCTTCGTTTAGATGAGCAAATCTTCCTCGTGAGCTCTCCTTTGTGAAGCACTTGACTGCTTCAGTGGCGTTTTCCTGTCTTCATAGTGCACACTGAGAAGTGACCAAACTGTTCATCCTGCACTTTATCTTAAGGTGTCCTTGTTACACATGTTACATGTAGTTCAAGTACATGTAGTTTATTAATATTACTCAGTACTTAAATGTATAATTACACTGCAACAAGGACACCTTAAAATAAAGTGTAACCCAAAAACTATTTGTATTTACTGCAAAGGTTTTAAAACATTTTTTTTTCTAATTTAAGAAATATGATTGATTAGTTGTGCTGCTAAGATCACATTGATCAACCACCGTCCTTTTTTTTAGGTGGCTAATTAGTTTTTTGGTCATGTTTTATTTTAAGGTCCAATTCTTGCTATTAACAACTTTATTATTATTAGGTATTGGGTAGCATTGTGGATGTAGAATCTGCTCATGCAGAATATGTGCTTTATCAGTACTAAGAAACAGCCGATATGTTAATAACAGGCATGCTAATAAGCAACTAGTTAATAGTGAGAATTGATCCCTTTACTGAAGTGTTACCTTTGTTTCTTCTTCCCCACAAGATCTTGTTTCTCAGGTCATTTCTAATACGTACTGATTCCTTACTATTAATGTAACTGACGGTTCAACACAAGATGTCTTTACTACTAAGCTACTGTAAGTGGTTTTTATATTTGAACTCATTTTGTGGTGGACATTAAAATGAGTGACCGCAGAAGCCGTGTCAGAACGGTGCGTCACCTCGTCAAAGCAAATGTGTGTCTAAATGTATCATTTTGATCCTCTACTCGTGTTTGTTTTTTGTGCAAAAGAAAATATTTTGAATGATTCAAACTGTTATCAGTGATTCAAAGGAAGAGTTTCATCCAAAAATGAAAAGACCAAACAGCTGATAAAAGCATCACAAGTAATCCACAGCACTCCAGTCCATCAGTTCAGATCTGGAGAAGACAAAAGCTGAAACACATCCAGCATTAAGATGTTAATCCATAACCCATAATAACGCTTCCTCCAGTGAAAAAGTGCATCTGCTGTCATCTCTCACATCAGAATCCAGACACATATGTGTTTAGAGCTGTTTAAACGCTGCTTGATCTGTGCAGATCTCTCTGCACATGGTCTTGGTACCATACAGTCTTTCATTTTTGTCAGGAAAAAGCTGTTTAAAGCAAAGGGTGGTTTCACCAAATATTATTTTTTACTTCATTTAAAGCAACTGCATGTAGTTTTGTGTATTTTTGCAACTTTGGGGCCCCTACAGTTAAGTGAGTGGCATTCACTGTCCTAAATGTACCACTGTGATAATTACACAAGCTCAGCAAACACACGTCTGTGGAAGAAACAGAAGCCATTCGCCGTGTTAGGAATCAGTGCACCAGCAGAGTGAATCTGAAAATGATATTTCAAGCTGTTTCCAATGCTCAGCTGTTGTTCATAGGACTCTAGTTCATATGCAATGTAACACAAAAACTGGTAACACTTTATCTTAAGGTGTCCTTGTTACACATGTTACATGTAGTTCAAGTACATGTAGTTTATTAATATTACTCAGTACTTAAATGTATAATTACACTGCAACAAGGACACCTTAAAATAAAGTGTAACCCAAAAACTATTTGTATTTACTGCAAAGGTTTTAAAATTTTTTTTTTTCTAATTTAAGAAATATGATTGATTAGTTGTGCTGCTAAGATCACATTGATGAACCATAAAGCGTCCTTTTTTTTAGGTGGCTAATTAGTTTTTTGGTCATGTTTTATTTTAAGGTCCAATTCTTGCTATTAACAACTTTATTATTATTAGGTATTGGGTAGCATTGTGGATGTAGAATCTGCTCATGCAGAATATGTGCTTTATCAGTACTAAGAAACAGCCGATATGTTAATAACAGGCATGCTAATAAGCAACTAGTTAATAGTGAGAATTGATCCCTTTACTGAAGTGTTACCTTTGTTTCTTCTTCCCCACAAGATCTTGTTTCTCAGGTCATTTCTAATACGTACTGATTCCTTACTATTAATGTAACTGACGGTTCAACACAAGATGTCTTTACTACTAAGCTACTGTAAGTGGTTTTTATATTTGAACTCATTTTGTGGTGGACATTAAAATGAGTGACCGCAGAAGCCGTGTCAGAACGGTGCGTCACCTCGTCAAAGCAAATGTGTGTCTAAATGTATCATTTTGATCCTCTACTCGTGTTTGTTTTTTGTGCAAAATAAAATATTTTGAATGATTCAAACTGTTATCAGTGATTCAAAGGAAGAGTTTCATCCAAAAATGAAAAGACCAAACAGCTGATAAAAGCATCACAAGTAATCCACAGCACTCCAGTCCATCAGTTCAGATCTGGAGAAGACAAAAGCTGAAACACATCCAGCATTAAGATGTTAATCCATAACCCATAATAACGCTTCCTCCAGTGAAAAAGTGCATCTGCTGTCATCTCTCACATCAGAATCCAGCCACATATGTGTTTAGAGCTGTTTAAACGCTGCTTGATCTGTGCAGATCTCTCTGCACATGGTCTTGGTACCATACAGTCTTTCATTTTTGTCACATAATCAAGAACATGTTCAAAGAAAGATGATTTAGTGTTACACAGTTAAGTATATTCAGTGCCTCCAACATATTTAGCTATCTTGTAACGTCAGTGTTATAGCATCATGCGATTGAAACCTCACATTTCATTGACAAGTCATTTCAGCAGCACTAGAGCAAGAGCTCTCTAAGACCTCACAGCCCACCTAAGCCTTCAGTGATAATCTGACTTCACTTCAGAAGTACTAGAGTGATACAGTCCATGTTGCTGCATTCATTTGAGGAAGCGCTGGCTCTAAACACACCTGATGGACTGATTATGATCGCTTGTCTTGTCTTTTGAATATCTCTCGTTGTTGACGTTACTCGTTTGCATTGACTGTGTTAAAGTCTTATCCTGATTGGTTGTTGAGCTCAGGATTGAGTAACAGCAGGCAAATACAACCAAATGAAGTGTTTGTAAAATCGGTGCGAAAGACCTGGACAAAAAAGGGCATATTTTGCTCTGTCCTGGACTTGCTCACCTGTCTCTGACCGGATTTACACACCAGCCTTTATCCATCTGAAGGGAATCATCTCTAAAGCTCTTCTAAACCACTGCTTCGACTTCCAGGTAACAACTTGCCATGCAAACGTTTGTTTTGTTCCAATTAAAGAAGTGGCTTTTCTTAAAACTACGTTACACTTAGTTAAACATAATAAAACGTAAGTGTAAAGAATGCTGGCAATTACTTCTTAAACATGAATGAAACATGTAGTGATGCTGAATTAAAGCTAATAACCCAATGGACTCTTTTCTCTGTTGGTTTTTAGTCCGGTGCGCACCGCTGAATCATGCAGCACACATTCAGAGCCATCACACACTCTCCAGGGACACTCATCTGGAGAATCGAGGTAGCATTCAATTCTGTCAGCAATAGATGGTCAAAGAAGAAGTTGATGGTGGAACAATTGATTAAAATCTATCGAAGAAACATATGATTGAATGTGGATGACACTTATTGTGTGCATTGAGAGAGAGAGAGAGAGAGAGAGAGTGTGTGTGTGTGTGTGTCATGTGAGCTCCAGTCCTGTCACTGCCTGCTTGGACTATATTTTCCCCTCCTTGAGGTAGTTTGTATTGTCTTTTGTGTTATTTTTGAACTATAATAAAGAACCCATTGTCCTCGCCTCATCCCTTCAGCCTAACCTGACAATTTCCTGTTCGACAGCTCTTGGTGCTTAGACATCACATAAGCAATTAAAAATTCAGTTACAGCCTCAGGTTTTACATCCTATGTCTGTCATCTATATGCAGACACGCAAAGGTGGCAAATCTGCATACTATGACATTCATTACTGGATAGGATCCATGTCTACACTGGATGAACAGGGAGCTGCTGCTGTCTATGCCATGCAGCTGGATGAGTTCCTGGGCTCCTCACCTGTTCAGCACCGGGAGGTGCAGCACCACGAATCCAGCATCTTCTGCGGATATTTCAAACAGGGCATAATGTAAGCATCCCAAATCTGTCAGATCTAATTATAATAGAGCAAAATAGCTGCGAGAAATAAAGTTGTGCAAGCCACTGTTATTGTACATGTAACCTAAAAAAAAAACCTTACTTTACAAGGCCCCCTGGTGGCTTGGGGCCGCTTAGCGGCCACTCATATCTAGAAACAGTCCAACCTTACATTCTTACGTTCTTCTGTGTATGGTTCACGAAGATGACAAAAAGCCACAAATACATGTCTTCATATGTCCTTAGTTATAAGTCCGGAGGAGTGTCGTCGGGAATGAACCACGTGGAGACAAACACTTATAACATTCAAAGACTGCTGCACGTGAAAGGAAAAAGGAAAGTGACTGGCACAGAGGTGAGCAAACTCTTTGTCTGGAGTATTACTAAATGTCTTCTAGTACCACAGGTACCACATGATGAATGTTTGTCTGGTTCCTTGATTTAGTTTGCCTGAGTGTTTTTAACCCTAATGTTCCTCACAATCCTTCGTCTGATCTTGAATGGATCTGTCCAATTATCAAAATGCTTGTGGATCTCCGTCAGAGTGAAATTACCGAGGCTATGATTCTCAAGCGATGAATGAGTAAATAACTGGCCAATCTGCAGGTGGAAATGAGCTGGAACAGCTTTGACACTGGGAGTGTCTTTCTGCTGGATCTCGGCAAGACTATTAT